ATATATATAGAGAGAGAGAGAGAGAGAGAGAGAGAGAGAGAGAGACGAGGAATCAAATGACTCAAAAAGTAACTCTTGGTAAAGTTACTCCGCTCAATAACTTATGGTGTATGTTGAAATTCATCGATTCAATTGTTAAATTAAAATTTATTAAATTTTACTGATAATTAATATAAAAAAAATTAATTAGCTTTGAAAAAATTATTTGCTAACAATATAGTTGAAAAATTAATTATTTTAAATTATTTAACTATAATCTTCTTGACAATTTACTATATGATTTTGATATTTTTGTATAATTAATGATTGATAATTAGAAAATAAAACAATGATAAATATATTTTTTGAATTTTATATCTTAGATTTAAGATGAATAAATATATTAAGTTAATTAATAACTTATTTAAAATGTTAAAATTTAATTTATAAGTATGTCATTAATTAAATATAATATAATTATTATTATTGATAATATAATTATTATATTTTTATAATAGTCCAGACATACTAGAATGAGAGAGATTTAAAGATAGTACAAGTATGAGATTGTATATTTGAGGATGACTTAAATGAATTAATTTGTACTACCTATACTAACAAGATGCATCTACTTTTCAGTAGCTTATCTAATCAGAACTTCATAGTTTAGTGTGCTTGACTTGGAGTAATATAGAGATGGGTAACCTTTTGCGAAATTTCCCAGAAATTGTGCAAGTAACGAGGACAAAACACGCTAAAAAGTGAAGTATCGTGAAATACAACCCTTGAGAGGCCAAATATGAGGGGTGTTACATTAAATTTTTCAAAAAAAATTTGACAGATATATCCGTCAGTAATTTCCGACAAATATATCCATTGAAAATTTTTGATGGATAATTATCGACGGATATATCCATTGGAAATTTCTGGCAGATTAAATTATATTTGATGGATTTTTTTTTCGATGCCCATTTTTTCATCAAAAATCTGTCAAAAATTCTATATTTTCGACAAATATTATTCCTTTTTATCGACGAATTATGTCCGTCGAAAATTTACATTTTTCTTGTAGTGGAATGACGTGTGACATAAACACATGTTTAATCAACATCATTTCTGTTTTTTAATAAAAGTTATAATAATTACAACTTAACACAAATCGAGCCACCTCTTGCATTATGAACAACTATGCTTTTTGGAGTGATTTCAGTGAGAAGTAAAATGAGAACTTGTTTGATTGCAAAGAGAAAAGAAAAGTTAGATATTATTAGGAAAACAGAATTAAATGAATACATGTGTACAAACATGCACATCGTATGCATTGTTCTATGATCAACTGATGCAATCAATTTGATTGAAAATATATCTTATACTTCTATTGTAAATCCTATAAAAACAAAAACCCTTAACATAAAATAGGATAGGTATATCATACATCCTATAATGTTGTCTAAACTACTAATGTTTGGACAGCTTTTGAATGTATAAATTCAAAGACCAGATCATATCACCCGTTTTACTATCCTACTCAAAAGTTAACTTACACACCTTTTTCACAAATTTAGCTTTACATGTCAATTCTTGTTCCCATCACATCAAGAGTTTGCGAGTTTAACGGGAAACATGTTGATATATTGAAAGATTCAATGTTCCAAATGAATAATAATCAAGTGGTCTAGTGAATCTAAATTTTTTGATAGTCAAATCAATGCATAAGCCATTTAAGCATATTTTGATGTCTTTGGAAATAATATATTTCTTTAACATTCGAGGAAGAAAACCAAAGCATCA